CACACACACACACACACACACACACACACACACACACATATAAACAGAAAATCCCTCTCCAAACAGAGGGAATAAAAGCGCTGTTTTGCCGTGATTCCAGTCAATCCAGTGTTGCTGGTTGTCATGAAAAGTGCTCAAATTTTCAAAAATAGCATGAAGTTAACCTGCAAATTGTTGCTCTTCTTTCTTGTTTGGTTAAACAAACTCTCAAGGACCTTGAATGACAATTTCTTTTCATGATATTTGTCGGATTGGAAGAGCTCGCAGCGGAGTGTCGAACCAGCAGCCATATTGGTTACATTTTAGGTATGAAGAGACATCAATGAAACATTACTAAACCGTAATCTGAGCAAATGTGTTCTTTCAGAAATGTGTATAAAAGTGGTAGCCCATCGCGTCGATCGGCGACCAAAAAGTAGCTCTCATTTTCAAAATCGTTGGTGACGCCTGCAATAAAGCGAAAAAACGAGACAAGACCAAACCTGCTCTGGTCCAGCCAACTCGGGACTTCTCCAAGACAGCGTCGTTGTCCTCTTTTGCTCCGAAGAAATCATCCTCGTAATCGGCTGTCCGCCTGTACAACATTTTCACACGTTTGATTGAACCATTCTCACTCAATCTTGAACTGTGCTGGACGACGAAACGCGTCTCTTTGTTTAGCGGTTAGCAAGCGAGGCTAAGTAAGGTACATTAGTCAAAAAAAGCTTGAGCGAATTTATCGTCCAGTAAGAAATGACCTACTGCATCGAGGCTGCGGTGCGTTCAGCTGTAATCAAGAAGAGAGAATGGGATTTACAAGGGTTCAATCTTTTTTTATTTTTTGTATCGTGCGTATAAGTATCTTATTCTGCTAATTCACAGGCCGCAGCACCGTTGTACGGCAATTCATTTAGGACAAACTTTGTCGCAACACAAACACGTTCAGGTAATAAATGCGCATGTATGTGTGCCTGTAAACATTAGATTCGTTATTCAGATATTATGTTTCACGGTGAGGAAATAATCACCCTCAAGTTAAATCGCCTATTACATGGCAATTCGCGTTCGAAATAAAGTTTGTTCAAGTGGAATTGCCATAGATTCCCCGCTGAGTTCTCTCGACCAACTTGCTTACACCCGCTGCACAGCATTTTCCAGAATGTTTTTGAAATGTACTCAAATGTCCCTCTATTTTTCTACACTAAAACACCTTACGTTATACCTTCTTTTCCCTAAGGTGCACGTTGGAGCTCCTCGCTGTCGTCAAGCCATCCTCGCCATGAAGTTATACAAGGAGTAGATTTGGAGCCACCATCTCCCGAAAAGCATGGCAAGTGTCCCATTCACCACTGGTGGCGCTGAATCTGCAGGGACGCCATCACCTCGTTGTACGACTTCCCCAGGAAGTCGGACTTCCTGACTTCTAATATGGTCATCGGCCTTTTCCATACCTTTGGCGTGCTTTCCTTGATCTAAAATTTACTTTCACAATTTAAAGAGGTGTTCAATGTTCAAGTGGCTCTTATTTTTGTAGGAAAGCCATTCAGATATTTTCTTTTGCAGTGGCGATGCCAATGTGTGCAAGCAGAGGAAAATTAAAAAATATGAAGCTAAAAATAAATGCACAGTTACATAACACATCTCATTCAAATTGAAAACACTCCTTTTTATTCCGGGTCATGTATGCAGTTTTCAACATTTTTCTCCGCAGTCTATTTCAATCAGTACTGTTCTGATCTAAAAAAATATTGGGGGTCCCACGGCGGTCCACTGGTTAGGCTGTCTTCCTCAGTGCAGAGGTCCAGAAGTCTGGTTTTGGAGTTACTGTGTGGAGTTGGTTTGTTGTCACCCTCGTAGGTACGTTTTCCTCCCACATTCCAAAAACATGCATGGCAGGTAATTGGAACACACAAGTTGTTATGTGTAATAAATAACGTTGAGCTTTTGCAATAATTTTGTGACTTTATTTACACTCACTTGTACAAAAATTCAGCAAAAAAAATAGCTGACTGATTTCAAAACAAGTGATCCATCAATTTGTTGTGTCCAAGTAATTTTTTAAAAAAATATCATTTATTCAGCTTAGCTGTGTAACGGCCCTCAAGAGGAAGACGTAAATCCAAAATAGCCCGCGACAAAAATGAGTGTGACACGCCTGCGTGTCAATTGTCCCTCAGTGTGATTGTTCGGCTGTGAATCGCCTGCGATTGGTTGTCAACCAGTTGAGGGTGTGCCGCGCCTACTGCCCATAGACAGCCGGGATCGGCTCCAGCGCAAACCACGACCCTTGTATGTGCACACAAAGCGAGCATTTCTGTCAGTGCAAATCAATTCAAGTCAAAGTCAGTGAGCGCAGAGGAGAAGGGAGTGACATAAAAGTGAAGGAGGTTTTGGACTACCATCTCTTGCAGCTCCCTGTCTTTCAGTGGTGGGCTTTAGTGTTGTCGGCTCACTCCTACGACATCAAGCATTGCAAATCAAATGCTCATTGATCTGCAGATGGACTTTCAAGGTAACCACTCCAAACTCACAAAAGCTGAATCGAACACAGTGGAAATCTTTCACTCCAGGGACATTGAAAGAGCGCCAATAACTGCATCCACAGTGAAAAAGGCTCCACGTGCTGAACCTGATTTATCAGCAATGATAGATATGGTCACGAATGGGCGGTGAGTAGATGATAGCTCTAACCTGAAACTTTACCACGATGGAAGGTGGAAGCTTCCCGTCCAGTCCGGGTGTCTGCTGTGTAGAAGGAGGATCATCATTCCACTGTAAGGGCACACTAAAATGCGAGAGCACCATCATGCAGGACATAGTGGAATCGTGAAAATAAGAGATAGTAAGAAGTTTCTTTGGGTGGCTAGGGCTAAACAAAGAAGTCGAACATATGGAAATGAGTTGTTTATCATGTCCTAAAACTCGCAAAAATCCTGCAGCCGCACCACTTAAACAGTGGGATTTTCCTCAGGAGCTTTGGTGTTGCATTCATATTACTTTTGCGGTGAAATCTTGAGTAGATTTGGTGCTCCTGTCCAAATTGTTTCCGATAATGGCCCTCGACTCGTGTCAAAAGAAATGTCAGATTTTCTTCAAGCCATTGAGGTACACCTGCCAGCCTGGGGTTCAATAGAGAACGACAGAAGAACTTGGATCGTCTGCCTTTTCTCTCTCACTTCCTCATGTACACTCACCACAAACAGATACTGACTGAGACTCAGAAACACAGTATTATTTGCAGTCATACATTTTCAACTGTTACCTGAATTATGATGATATGAGACAGCCGTGACACAAAAGCAAGTGTATTGTGAATACATGAAAAACTGCAAAAAAGTAATATGAAAGTGTATTCATGAAAATTACTTCACTATCAATTCATCCACAACACTATGACATCAAATAATAAAAAAAGAAATTAAAAAAATTAACTAAAATGCATTTTCTTAAAAATAATAGTGTCTAAATATGATCAAACACACTAACTGAAGTACAACTAAATTTCATAGCCAAAACTCAAAATGAAAATAAAAACAATTCTCAACAAGCTGACAACTCACAATATTTTCAACACAACAAACACAAACATTTCTTTCTTTAAGGAACCTTGCAAGATGCTGCATAGAATTCAGTCACCCTTGGAGCTTGAAGTGATGAAGCCTAATCAGATGACAAACCAAAGCTTGATTGATGAGTGTGTTGGTGCAATGCAAAACACTCATGGTTTTTAGCCTGATATTTCCATGAAAAGCTTTGGCAACAAATTGAGCAGGCAAAGGGTTTCTCACCAGTGTGTGTTCTGGTGTGGATTTTTAAGGTTCCCTTCTCGGAGAAACTTTTACCACAGACTGAGCAAGCAAAAGGTTTCTCACCCATGTGGGTACTTGTGTGTCTTTTTAAGCTCCTCTGATGAGAGAATCTTTTACCACAGACTGAGCAGGCAAAGGGTTTTTCACCAGTGTGGGTTTTGGTGTGAATTATTAAGTTTTCCTTTTGTGAGAATCTTTGATCACAAACTGAGCAAGCAAAAGGCTTCTCGCCAGTGTGGGTTCTTGTGTGTTTTGATAACTGTTCCTTCTGACAGAATCTTTGGCCACAAACTAAGCAGGCAAAGGGTTTCTCACCAGTGTGTGTTCTGATGTGCTTTGTTAAGGTTCCCTTCTCAGAAAATCTTTTACCACAGACTGAGCAACCAAAAGGCTTCTCACCAGTGTGGGTTCTTGTGTGAATTCTTAAGTTTTCCTTACGTTTTCCTTTGGCCACAAACTCAGCAGGCAAAGGGTTTCTCACCGGTGTGGGTTCTTGTGTGTACTTTTAAGGTTCCCTTCTCAGAGAAACTTTGTCCACAAATTGAGCAGGGAAAAGGTTTCTCACCAGTGTGAGCTCTTGTGTGTTTGTTTAAGTGCCCCTTCTGAGAGAATCTTTGACCACAAACCATGCAAGAGAAAGGCTTCACGCCAGGGTGTGTTCTTGTGTGTTCAGTCAAATCTTCCTTCAGAGAGAATCTTTTGTCACAAACTGAGCAGCCAAAAGATTTCTCACCAGTGTGTGTCTTTAGGTGTGCTGTCAAATATCCTTTCAAGGAATATCTTCTGCCACAGACTGAACAGGCAAAAGGTTTCTCACCAGTGTGTGAACTTGTGTGCCTTCTTAACTCTACCTAGGCCAGCGACAGCCAGCGGGAGCGAGCGACAGCCAGCGGGAGCGAGCGACAGCCAGCGAGCGACAGCCAACGACAGCCGAGCGAGCGACAGCCAGCGGGAGCGAGCGACAGCCAGCGGGAGCGAGCGACAGCCAGCGACAGCCGAGTGAGTGACAGCCAGCGGGAGCGAGCGAGCGACAGCCAGCGGTTGTTCCGGGGCACCCGTTTGCTTGGGGCTCCAGCGGCTGTTGGACACATTTGTTTGGCGCTGGCAGCTGAGGTCTCGCTTGAACTCCCAGTGGCAGCGGCGGAGACTCGAACGCTGCGGCGGTGTTGTCCAAAACATGCCAAGGCAACAGATGTCCAACATGTTACATTAAACCATCAGAGCAGTTTAGTGAATATGACGCCTGAAGAAAGTCATTTGAAAAAAAAAAAAAAAAAAAAATTACAGAAGGAGCACTTCCTGCTCAAGGAAAAGGAGAATCACAAGTTTGGTCCGATGGTGGAGGTGGGTTACTCCTGAATATTGTATCACACAGATGTCAGACTCAAGGCCCGGGACCCAGATCCGGCCTGCCACCTCATTTTATGTGGCCCGCGAAAGCAAATCATTCGCGTCAACTTGCATGATCCTTGCTAATATATAAAATCATCTGTACTGGGAACATGTTATCTTCACTTCTGCAGTGACAGTCCAAAACAAAAATGGTTGACATTTCTTATCCAAATACACAGCACTGAGATAAGAAGTCAGTTTTTTGCAGGGGGATTAAACAGGAAACCTCTTTTTGTGAATACAACTATAAATGGTCACATTTAGATGCCGTCCTGTAAGCCTCAAAGTCTATATTTAGTTTTGGACTTTGAGTTTATTGCACTCAAACAATGCAACCCCCCACCCCGACCCCCCATCTACACTTTTAGCAAATGTTTCCTCTCAGTCTGAGGTTGAATTTAAGTTCAGTTAATTTTCCACCATTCAAGAGGACATTTGTTTAGTCATTCTCAAAAGCTGCGCTTTAATATGAGGTGCTGTGTTTTTATTATAACAGTATCATTGTTCCATAATGGAATAATGTGGCAATTACACACATAGTTAACCAAATAAATATTCCGGAGATGGACATTGGTTGTGCTGGTAATGTGATTACATTCTTTCAGTAATTGAATTACAGGTCTGCCCAACCGCACACATTGCTGTTTTTTGTCTATAAGGTCTTGCAATGTTGTCCTGCAATCATTCCTTATAGGTTGTGATGCACATATCTTGAGTCATCGTGCTATGGTGAACTCGGTCGGGAGTTTCTGTTCAATATTTTCAGTTAGAAGTGACAAAATGTAATCAATGATCAAATTAACTATATCAATAATTGAGTAATCATTTCGAGCCATTGTTCAAATCCTCAGTTTATTACTGGCCAGACATGGGACTTCGTGTTTCGGACACACGCGTCTCAGGCAGCCAAAGAGCTTGTGTCGCGGGCGCCCTCTTACCGAACCTTTACGCCGGCCGTTCATGCAGCCGAAGCAGGGCGAACGCCAATTCTTTCTGGCCAGAGATTCAGCTCAGCGTCGGAGTGCAAGTGCAAGTGGCCCGTTCCAGTGCATCAATGCAGATATGCAGCTGAGCGACAAGCCCGAGAGGTCAGCTTGGTGAAATTTCAAAGTTGCACATTGAAAAATTCAGCACATACATTGAAATGTAATAAAAAATAACTTATGAACAATTCACCTTATGAAAAGCCTCTCAGAAAGCATTGTGTTCATATCTTGGGGACTTATCAAAGAAAGCAAATCTGTCATGAGAGAAAATGCATGTAAGCTGCTTATTTCCTCATTCTCTTAAATCAGCCATGGAGAGTCTCATCCTTGTGATATTTTTAGGGGTTGGAGTGGGCATAAGTTGAGATGCTCTCTCATCACAAATGGCGATTAATCGCCATTTGTGGAAATTATTAGCAAGGTATATACAATGATTTTGAATGGACAAATATTGTCCGGGTCCTCTCGTCACTTCGAAACAAGACTTGGTAAATGGACACAAAAAAACAACAGATTTCATAAATATAATGTATAGCAACGGTCTTTACCCAGTCATTCTGAGACCCACCAGAATAACAGTTGACACGGCCACATTAATAGATAATATATTTATAAACAAGATTGACCATAAAAAGGAAAGTGGACTTCTCATAACCGACATAAGTGACCATCTACCGGTCTTTGCAGTCTTTCACAATTACTTTGATAAAAAAACTAAATCAATAACCCACATATCAGAAATAAGACCCAGAACCCAACATTCCATTGCAGCTTTCAAGCTCGACCTAGACAAGCAAAATTGGTCTGAGGTGTACACAAATAAAGATCCAAATACTGCGTTTGACGTATTTCAGTCAACCATAACCTCCTTATATGACAAGCATTTCCCAGTAATTAAGGTCACCAGAAAGTACAAAAACCAAAGTAAGCCATGGATAACAAAAGGTATAGAAAATGCATGTAAAAAGAAAAACAATCTATACAAATCGTTTCTAAAATCCAGAACCAAAGACGCTGAAACAAAATACAAGACTTATAAAAATATATTAGTAAACATTATAAGAACCAGCAAGAGAGACCATTTTCATACATTATTGGAGCAAAATAAAAGCAACACTCAAGAAATATGGAAAATCTTAAATCAGGTAATTAGAAATAGCTCTAGTAAAGTCGATTATCCGGAGTACTTTATGAAAGATAAAAATACCATTATTGAGGATACTGCACAAATAGCAAAGGAATTTAATGAATATTTTGTTAATATTGGCAGCAACTTAGCAAAACAAATTCCTGATCCAATAAATTGTTTTGAAATAGATAAATACATAGAAAAAAATTCTTCCACAATGTTTCTTACTGCAGTGAATCAAAATGAAATATTAAATATTGTAAAAACATATAAAAGTAAAAAATCAACTGACTGTTTTAATATTGATATGACAATAGTAAAACAGATCATAGAAATTGTAGTGCGACCTTTTACATACATATGCAACTTGTCATTTAAAGCAGGTGTTTTTCCATCAAAAATTAAGATAGCTAAAGTCATTCCAATTTTTAAAAGTGGAGAAAGAAAATTCTTCACAAATTATAGACCAATATCACTGCTACCACAACTTTCAAAAATATTTGAAAAATTCTCTCGCAGACTTGACAACTTCATAAATAAACACGGGCTGTTAAGTGAAAATCAACATGGCTTCAGAGATAAACGTAACACCATAATGGCAGTAATGGAGTTTGTGGAAGCAATAGCAACTAACATAGACAATAAAGAATTCACGGTTGTGATTTTTT